ATTTACGTTGTTTTTTTTTTTTTTTAAAAAAAAAAATAAATTTTAGGTCATTTTCATAGTCGTAATTATCTAGAAGTGCTTGTAATCATGACTATTTGAAAGCAAACTTCAATCGTTAATAATTTGTATCAGTGGAATACTGATTTGCAGGATATCTGTGGTTTCAATCTGGCGGCTTTGAAACTTTTTCAAAAAGAAGTGGAAGAAGAGTCAGAAGTGAAAATGTTTGCCGATTTTTCAGAATTAGGAAAGAAAACAAAAAAGAAATCAAGAAAAACTGTGACGAAAGTTTTTGCTTAGGAATATATTATTGTCAGAAAGAAGTGATTGCATGTGCACTACATTTAATATTTCGTCTTCTTGATTATACATCTCCGGTGAATATCAAAAAATCGCATCATTTGTTGCTGTTTTTTTTTTTTTTTTTTAATTAGTCAAAATATGAATAACCTAAGTTTCGAATAGAGAAAATAAAAGAAATAGTTGATTACTATTTTGGTAACTTAGCTTGTTAGATTTTTAAGAATTTAAATTTCCATAGAATTTTCCTCCTACTAATCTGTTTGTTATTTTTGCTTTTTCCATTGTTCCAATTATGAATTTTTTTTTTTTTTTTTTTTTTTTACATTGTTGAAGTTATCAGTTTGTATTATCCAATAAAACATTTTGCTGAAATTATGGAAAGATTGACAGTGGTTTTATGAACCAATAAATAATGAATTTCTTGCACACAAAAAATATAATTCAATTAGTTTAATGTAGGTTATTTTTTTTTTTTTTTTGATAATTCATCAATGAAAGGATATGAATTGGATAAAAAATTTTTTTTTATATAATATATAATAAAAAAGTAGGAGTGAAAATTTAAATTATTTTGAAAAAGGAGATATTAGATAAGAGGAGCATTTGAGTATGAGATATATTTGAAATGATAAAGCGTTTATTGAAGGGAGATTATTTAGCATAGAGCAAAAAAGATGAAATGATTGATTGATTGATTTTGGATGATACTTCAAATAATTAATTTGCAGAATGATTTTTCATGTTTTCTTTTTATTTTATTTTTTTTTTTTCTTTTCAATAATTTAATATTACATGCATCATTCTCTTCCACAAATATATTTTATAATTTTTAATTTCATTTTAGTAGTTATAAATTTTTCTTTTTATTTTATTTCATTTTATCTTATTTTTTTCTTTTCAATAATATTACATCATTCTCTTTCACAGATATATTTTATAATTTTTAATTTTATTTTAGTAGTACTTATAAATTTTTCCTTTTTATGATAAAATAGAAATTAGATAAGATATGGAAGAAGTTTTAAATCATAGTATTTCATTTTAGGTTCATTTTGCTAATTATAATTGTTCCTATAACTAATAGAATATACTTTGTGAATCTCGTAACTAACATTTTGTAAATTCTTTGTAGGAATTTAATAAGAAATTTTATATGAATTTTTTATCTCATATTTCACATACTAAGTTATGACGTGTGTAAGATTTTCATTTTCTATGTTACGTGTATCACTTTCTTGTTTCAATCATACGCTTATCACGTTTTTTCATCTTTTATCAGTACGCTTTACGTGGGAAATGATACGTAGTAGCATTGGAAAAAATGCTGAATCTATTTTAGAGTTAATTAAACTTACAGATATATGTGAAATAAAAGCCATTAATTGTTATAGGAAATGGATGAATGGAGAAATGTTAAATTAAATCTATGATTAAATGAAGAGAAGTCTTAAAGAGAAACGGTAATAATTTTATTATTCATAGGAAGATGATTTGTGATTATTGAAAAAAAAAAAATGATTAAATTCAAGAAGGAAAAATATCTAATTTTTTTATGAAGAAATTTTTAAAAAAAATATTTCATTTGAATTATAAAAAAATAATAATTTTCATATGTATCATTTTTCTTCGTTATTTTAATTAGAAAAAAAAAAAAAAAATGATTATGAAAAGAAATCTCAAATTTTGCATTTTTAAGAATTAGCTATGTTCGTTTGAATCATTGCTAATATATTTTTGCTATAATATATACAGCTATGATTGAATTTCGTATGAAATTATTTGTATTTATCTATTAATATCCTTAGACATAAATCATTTTGCAAAAAATTTACATAAACATAAGAATATTTGTGAAAAGTATGATTGTTTTTTTTTTTTGATCATTTAAGGAATATTTATTTTATTGAAATATTTTACGATGGATAAATGCTCATTGAAATCGAGGTTTTGATGATTTTTGATGAATTTTAGTTTTAACAAATTTATTCAAAATAAAATTTGCTTGAGATTTTTACATCTTTTTTTTTCTTGCATTTTTAAAATTCCTTTTCTTATTTCACTCTTTATTTTATTTTATTTTTTTTTTTCATTTTTTTTTAATGGCTAGAGATCATTTCTCTTTTGCATTGGATAAAATGAAATATTGATCACATTTGAAGCCTTTTCCCTTACTTTCTCTCTTCTTTCTTATCTTTTACACTTTCTCTTTTAATAGGCCTGAAAAAAGTCTAGATGTCGTTTAAAAAAGCTTAATTTCATTTTTTTCGTTTCGTTTTTCCAAGCCAAAACTCTATATTTTCCTTTAAAACTTTCAAAGTTAGAAACTTTCATTAATGTTTTAGATTAATCAGTTACATGCTGAATCTTACGGAAGTCAAACTGATTTTTTTTTTTAAAGTGAAATTTTCCTGATATTAACGTATTGAGAGACGAGAATCTCTTTTTTTTTTTTTTCCTTCAATTATCTTTACTACGTATTATTTAATATATATTTCCTGAAAATATTTTCTAATAATTTTGTTAAAATTTTCAATTTATCTTTGATTGCTTAATTTCTGGCATTCGAATGTTCCTTCGTTAAAATGAATTTCTTTATTTCCTTAAATCGAATAAAGAAAAACAAACATTTTTATAGCGTTCCCAGTTGTTTTTCACTAACACAAATTAAACTTCTTGTTTTCAACTGGTAAGAATTCATCTCTTCAAAATTTCTTTTAGCTGTATAATTTCACGGCTAATATCTCTGCATATTATTATGGTAAAATTAATTTGAAACTATACAAGAATGTTCATGTGTAGAATTTATGTGATTAAAGTTTAACTGATACAGTAATAATGATGATAATTAATAATAATAATAATAATCATAATAATAATGGTAGTAATAATAATAATAAATTACGTTAAGTTAGAAATTCATTTAATTTGATCATTTAACTGTAATGTTTTATATCATATTAACTTAATGGATATTATTGCCTAACAAATATACCATCATGCCATTTATGAAGATTTGTAATTCCACGTAAATAATTAAACTTGAGAAAAAGCAAGTGTCATACTTGTCACTGTTGTTTACGTTGCTAGCAGCAATTTCAGATTAAAAGCAAATTTTGTTATAACTATAACTTACCATTTCATTACTTTTTTGATTACTTTAAAGTTTGCATTAAATTCATGGTGAATAATATTTACAGAGCGATAACTTAAATTTGTTATTAAATTTTTATGCAATTTAAAATTTATTAATCCGATACGATTCTGCTTAAAGAAATACTCATTAATTTTTAAATTAAAAAATTTTTCTTCAGTTTAAATCAGAAAATGAGCAAAAAAAAAAAAAAATAATCAGAAAATGAGCAAAAAATAAAAAAAAAAAAGAATGTCAATTGTCTTTGTTTTAACATCGTTTATTTTAATATTTCCATTTAATATATTTCAAAATTTTTTATCCATTTTAGATGGAATAATATTTGATGATCGTAATAATCGATGGCAATTGTGACATTTGTACATCTTTATTAAAGTGAAATTATACAAAGAAAGTAATACATTTAATTTATTCATTCTTAATACATATTTGTATTCATTCATAATCGTTTATAACAACCTTGTAAAGTTGACAGAACTTTGAAGTTTAAGTTTTACTACCTGAAATAATCAGTGATTAGATTTTTTTTTTTGAAAGAAGAGTTATGTTTAATGTGAACAGTGTAGAATGTGTTTGAATTATCATCTAAAAGTTAATATTTTATAAGTTAACACTGCATTAATATAAATAGAAAATAGCTTAGATTAAATAAATAAAGATTATGCAATTATGTTGTCATGGGAACAGTGAAATTTGTTTCTTGTGGTATTTATTTATTAGCTACAAGTATTTATAATTTATCAATTCAACAAAGTGAAATATTATTTTGTTTATTTTTCTTTCTTTTTTTTTTTTTTTAATTTTTACTTTTTTGCTTAAATTGTTTAACTTAGATTGTTTGAAAAATATAATATTCGTATAGAAAGTGAGTTTATTAACGTGACAGATGTTAAATCTTTGTCATATAAATATTTAATTTAGCTTAATTTCATCGATATGTAACCTAGTTTTTTTTTTTTTTTTTTGTTGGTTTTAATAAATAACATAGTCATACTTGATTTGAATAGCATATTGTTATGTGATTTTAATTTTGTGAATTTTGTGAGAAAACTTTTTATTTTCTATTTTAATAAGTAGAAGAGAAAATAGTAATAAAAGTTATGGTATTTTAATGACAAAGTGATATGTAATTTGAAAACAAAATTGTAAGAATGTTTGATTTATAGCTTTTTAAAAATAAATAACCTTTAGTTCATTCTCATAAAACTAAACTTTTCCATTCAATTATGATATTATGAGTTTTACATAAAAAGTATGTTTTTTTTTTTTTTTTTGTTTGTCTTTAACATATTTACAGTAGTATAAGTTATTAAAATTATTGCTTGAAATTTATGATAAAATGTATAATTTTTTTGATGTCTGAATGAGTTATATAATAATAAATTTAAAGAATTAAAAATTAAGCTATATGTAAAAAAAAAAAAAAAAAAAAACTAAAAATTAAACTTATTTATAAGATAATATGAAAATTACTTTTTTTTTTTTTTTTTTAATAATATTATGGAATTATTTTGAGTATAACAATTACTGTTTGCAGAATATTGCAATGATATTTTTTGTATGGTCGCTTGTGTTATCTGCAGTGCAGTTTGCACGACGTCAACGATTAGTATCAGTATTATCGGAGTATTTCATTTGGAATCTTTCACATAATTCAGTACTTTTATGTCGTAAAATTCCTTGTTTTTCGTGTTCTTCAAGTAAAAAAAAAAGGTAAATCTTAGTTTTATTATTTTACAAAAAAAAAAATATTTCATTTACTTCATACTTGTTTGTATCTCTCTATTTATCATCGATCATTTGAATGATTATTTTTCTTATTATTTATTTATTTATTTGCTTATTCAATTCATTGAGTATTTTTTTTTTTTTTTTTTTTTTTTTTTTACTTTTTGTTTTTATTTTTATTCTTCGTTATATAAGTTATTTAGTTTCATATGCTTTTTTTTTTGTTTTATTTGTTCACTTAATTACATTAGTTAAGTTAGTACTTAGGTAGATTTTTGTAATTATTTCTTCTTTTTTTTTCTTTTTTTGATTTTTCAACATTTATTTGCTTAATTATTTCCTGGAAAAAGTGCTTGTAGATATGAATGAATTAATGTTTAGTATTTTTTTTTTTTTTTTAAATTAATTTATAATATTAGCTTAATGAATGAACTTGTGCTAACATTTCAGTTATGAAAGATTAACCGATACTGTGGATATGCTAAGAAAGACAAGTAGTGAACCATGTCTTCCAGGTGAACTTATTACAAGACCAATTTATCGTAATGAAGAAATGGAATTTGTTGTTCAGTCAGATGCTGTAAGCTGTTTTATAAAATTTTTGTTTTCAATTTTTTTTTAAAGAATGAAATTATACGAACATTTTCTTAGAAAAAAAAATCCTTCAGCTTGGATTATTAAAGCTGGATTTAAAATGGAACTGAAATTGAACTGAAGTTTAAATTCAAAACTTAACAGCAGTAGTACTATATTATCAACATTACTGAGAATTGTTGATAATTTTACACATAACTTTTTAAATTGTGTGGTATGAGAAAACTAGATGGTATACACATGACCTTGATATGACCCTAACTAGTATAACTACGGAAATGTTTCCCACTGATTGGATTTTCATAGCAACATGACATAGTTTTAAAATTTCACACTCATATGTAACAATCTCGTTCTCATATTTTATTCGAAATAGATTCCATAAAAAAAAAAAAAAAAAAAGCAGAAGTTAATACTTCGAAATTAAATTTTCCATTTTTATCACCAAATTTTCAAGCTGAAACGAACTCATCCATTATGTTTTGACTTCTCAAAAATAATCGAAGCAAAGCAAAACTTTTCTCAAAATTTGAAAACTCCTTTCTGACATTCCATCTTTTTCGAAATGGATGAAAGAAAAACATATAATATTTGTTTTCAATTTTTTAAAATTTGTTTTAATTTTTTTCTTTTTTTTTTTTTTTTTTTTTTAACCTTTATTTTTCTTTTTAGACACAATTGGATATTGTGGACTGGAATATATTTACTCCACCGATTCATGGTTCTATTCCACGTGTTCATTTTATTGCTTTTTTGGATAAGAAAACTGATGAATATAACGAAACTTTGGATGGTATTACTGTTACCGATTCAGTAGATATCATCGATGAACAATCAAGCATAATCAGTAATACTATTTTCTCTTCCGGTTTACCATCAGTTCTGGTAAATTTACTTCTTTAATTTTCTTTTTTTTCTTTTTTTTGCTTTATTGCTGATATATGACAGAAAAGAAAAAAATAGAATTCAATAGAGTACTGTAAGTGTTATTTGTATGATAAAAAATATTAAGAAAATGAAGAGGAAAGAAGAGAATAATAATAAAAGGAATAAAAATTGAGGGATTTTATTATATTTATTTTCTTCGAAATTAATATTAGCTTTAATTCTTTAATTTTAATTTTTATATTTTATCTTTTTATATATTCTCATATTAGATTGGTAATTTATGTAATAAAATTGCTCATCGACGTGGACGTCCATGGGAAATCCTTTATGAATGTACATTATATGATTTTTATGATATTGCTTTTGCATGGTCACAGAATATATTATTTGATATTGGTGGTAAAGCAGTGGTTAAAATGATGAAAGGTTAGTGAAAGTTGCAATTCTTTTTTTTTTTTTTTTTTATTCTTTTTTTTCTTTTTTAATTTCTATTTCTTCTTTTATTTATTTATTCAAATGAAGGAATCTAAAGTTTATTTTTTTTTTTAAAAAAAAAAAGATGGTTCATGTGGATAATTTATAATTATTCTATGGTCATCTTTTGTATACAGTTCTATAGATGAGTGATTAAAAATCCAATAAATTTTTCTTTTTGGCAAGAATTTTGGAGAGTATTGAACGAATATAAGAACTATTCTCTCTTTTAAAATCATTTTTTTTTTAATATTTTAATTTAACAAATTTTTTTCTTAAAAAGGATTTTCTTTTCTTTTATGGTTGAAAATTAATAAAGATAGTTTTATAAGTGGAATTTGCAAGTGTTCAAATGAAAATTTATCTTTTATAATGTACATATTACAGTGGTAACATTGCCAGCGAAATTTTTTCTACAACTGGATGATAGTAACAGTTTACAAAGGTGTGTATCACCTCCTCTTAGTTGTAAGTTTTATTATTATCAATTTGTATAGTAGTACTTCACAGTGGGGAGTTTTCTTTTTTTTTTTTTCAACTAAAAACAAATAACGCAAAAAGATATTAATTTATCTATTGCTTATTTCAATTCTTAATATTCATCATTTCTCTTTAGTTAGTTAGCATTTTATAATAGTAGTCGAAATTTCTATTGATGAAATGATATATAGTAACTAAAATAAGAGGACGAATTAGGTAGCATACTAAACAAATAAATTATTTAATAAATGATTGGCTGATATGAAAATGGACATGAAAAAAAAAGTTTAAATCCTTTGTAAATTAAATTGCTAAAATTAGTTGATTAATAATTCATTCACATATAATGATGAAACTGTAAGCAATCATAAAATAATCAGCTATATATTGAATAAAATATAAGAAAAGAATGAGAATAAAATGATTTTTGTAATAAACTTAATAAATAATTAATTAATTAGTTAATTAATCAGTTAATTAATTGTTTATTTTTTGGTGGCGAATGGGGTATAAATTCATCACGTAATAGTCTATCACCAGAGCCACTTTCATTACTGGAATTACTTTATGAACGAGAACATAGTTGTATGATGGATAAAGATGATTGCCGGAATTTTTACGATTCTTCAGTTTTATCATCGTTTCATAATAATGATTCAACATTACATTATGATAATCGGCAAGGATTTCCTGCTCCATCTATGTATGCTTTTTTTTTGAATGTTTTGTTCGAAATATTATGCATTTGAAATATTTGAAATATTGAAATATTAAAAATATTTGAAATATTATGTAATGAATGTATCACTCATTACATTCAATTAAATTTTCATATATTGCATTCAAATAACAAAAAAAAAAAAGACCAAAAATAGAATATTTTGCTAATTAACACTAGAATTAATTAATGAAAATTTCAATGATTCATTTGGTTGTTCTTTGTTGCAAAATGTAAACCTTATAAAACTAGAAAAAGTTATCTTTTGCTTCAAATTTGTTAACATTTTTAAAATAATCATTCTGGATATGGTAATGATCATCCTAGACTCATATTCTAGTTGTTCATTGTTTCATGAAATTAATTAATTAGTTCATTTTTTAGTAATTACTTCAAAACTTTTCTTTTGCAAAGTATAAAAAAAAAAAACTAATGCTAGATCAGTTGGTAAATAAATTAATTTAGATTTAAATATGTTAATTTTAAGATTATCAGTTGATACTCCAAACAATGACTACTTTGGATGTGTTAGGAGATCTAATTTATCGAGATCGAGAGCATGTTCTGTTTCACTTGAACGAACCAAAACAGTACTGAATGAAGCTGCTTCATTCTATATCAGATATCTCAAAGAGCAAAATAAAATGAACAAAAGGTTATTCAATGTTATTATTTAAGTTGAATTTGAAGAAATTATAAATTTTCATTTCCTATATGAATTGTATGAAAAAAAAAAAAACACTTCATGTAAGTCGTGTTGTGAGAGAGAGAGAGAGAGAGAGAGGGAGGGAGAGGGAGAAGAGAGATATCTTTTTTAAGAAACTGAAAAGAATAGGTTGATATATCATACAGAAGGTGGCATTTCACAAGTATCTACATTTTATCATAAAATTTAAATCATTTGCATGCTTTGGTTATAGGTTCATGACGATTTGGAATGTGAGTTTCCACTAAGGATACAAATATATCAGGAATCTGCTGAAAAATCAACTCAGTACTTGTTTTTTTTTTTTTTTTTTTTTTTATCTTTATGCATAATTTATATTTGTACGATTTTTATGGAAGTTGACATGAAGTTGACAACTAGGATGGCAGAATGCACAATGAAAGTACTGGTTTAATAATAATGGATAGATGAAGATAGCTCTTTTATTGTACAAAAATTATATTAAGAAGAATCGGGGAAAAAAAAAAAATGGATCCGGTTATTCTTTCGCATGTCATCTATTCCTGTTAATTTTATTGTTTTTCGGATTTTTCTTGTTTTATCTCTTTTTTTTTTTTCGTTTGTTTAAGTAATCCATAAAAATAGTTTAGTTAAATTAGAAAATTTTTTTCTTTTTGGAAATGTTTCTCCTTTTTTGTGTGTGAAACTTTTAAAGATTGCATACTAAAAAAAAAAAAAAACACTTTTTAGATGTTATTAAAATTTTACTTTCATATCAAAAATATTTTTTTTCTTTCCTAACTAACTTATTTTAAATTTACTTTTTTTGCATCTTTTCTCTTTCTGTTTTATAATGCTTTCCGTCCTTTGTCTTTGTTTATGAAGAAACATTACTTCTTTCTTCTTTTTCTTTTTTTTTTTTTTAACTTATTGACATCATTTAAAACAGATATCACATTGCTTGTGTGTGGACATACTTATGCGTGTGTATGTATGTATGTATGTATGTGTGTGTATGTGTGTGTTTCCTTTTAATTTCAAAAAAAAGAAATTTTTTTATTGTTTTTAACAAAAACAATCAAACTGCGGGTGGTATTGAAAATGAATTTTAGGCTTATTAGCACTTAATTATTTCAATTTTCAGTTACTCAAAAAGTCAACAGTTTGGTTCGAAAACAAGATTTGCTCGTGTTGAACAACACATGTTGCATTCTTCTGTAAATTCATTATGCAATCAGAAAAGAGAATTACGGGAAATGGATGGTCATGCGAACTGTTTGCTGTCAAGAGTCTCGACTGATGTCGTTCCGAAAGAAATCAACGGTCAACTTTTCATAGATTACAGTTCAGTACACGTTGATGATGCTAATACACCAGTTAAACTTACGAAAGACAATGTTTGTAATATCGGAAAATATCAGTTTCCAAACGAGCTGAACCATCCTTCTTCAGTCGAGCAGAATTTAATCTCGAATAAAATGGATCAAATTCAACTCCAATTGAAAGATGATCGCATTACATCAGATCAGATTATTAGTTACCAAAATCGAGTTCAAATGAAACCTAGCCAGATTTTGATTCGATCAGATCAAGGAACAGCTATTGGAAAAGTTGAAAATCAAAATACTTCAAATGCTGGATCTATAGGTAAAACTGAGCGAAAGCAATTTTCAAAAAGGATTGTAAATGCAATTGCTCCTGAAAAAAACGAATCAAATTCATCAACTTCGGTCAACGAGGTGATTTAATTCAATCAATTTAAATTGAAATTCGCCTGATTAGAATCAAAAAATATTTGTAGTGAACTTTATACATTTCTATTATGTAACTATCCCATATCTGTTATTACTTATTTTCTTATATAGTTTAACACAGTATAAATTTCAGGGTGCGTGTAAATTTTTATCAGCAACAGGTAAGCAAAATTATTATCTTTGTGCTATGCACTTGAGCTTTTCGCACTTTTCAAGATGCTTTGTTTCTGTGACAATTCCTTATCAGTGTTAAGCATAAAATTATATTGCTTGTGCAATACTGGTAAAATTATTGCTCGCATAATAAACCTATATAATATATAAGTACCAATTTTAACGATATGACCAGTGATAAGCGCAAAATTGGGTTTTTTTTTTTTTTGAGACAGCCAATTTTGTCAATATTGCATAAAATGATTTATGAAGTTAATCACAAATAATGACGAAAAGAAGGAGAATGTTTTGTTATTATAATGATCAAATATCAGTCATTTTTAAAGTTGGCATTTCTCGCATTTCCTAGTGTGAAAAGAAAATTACGAATTGAACAGAAAAAGAGAATAATTTTAGACAAATTAATTTAGGTTAAGGTTGAAAAGTTTGGTTTAAATTTTAATTTCAAGATTTAAAGCTGAAATAATTTTGCAACAAGAAAGTGAGTTATTTCTCTCTTGGATCAATTTCATCTTAACTCTATCCGTTGTTGATTGATTGTCTGTCCTTGTCACTTTTAAGCATTGCCTTTTCATGCTTTTAAGTTTAGAAGTTTTTTACAGTGTTTATCCATGCTTAATCCAAAAATTGTTAGTACTTCTTTATTATTATAATATTCTCAAATAATTTTCTCACTTTTTTCTTTTTTTTTTTTTTTTCAGATTGTTATAATATCTTTCCAACTTCTGCGTTGATTCAATCGCCATCATTATTTCTGAGCTCGAAAGAACAATCAGTATTATTGAGTAAAAAAATGTTTCGAATTTTTAACGGTTCTCATTTGCATACAGCAAAAGATGGCGGAAAAATTCTTACGAAACCTTTAATGGTGAATTTTTAAAGGTTATTATGCTAAAAAAAAATTATATATATGTACATATTATTTTGTTCTATAATTAAATATTTGAAAGATTTGTTGAATCTTAAGTTTTACAATGAATCAGAACATTTAATTATGGAATTTTTCCATTCTATTAAATTGTATTCTTTCATTATTTCTATATTTAAAAAATAAGATTTATGCAAGCGTTTGAATATATGCACAAATTATTTTTCCTCTTGCTTATAATAATAATAATAATAATTAGAAGGGAAAGATTCCAGATGAAGAATTTTAAATTGCCGAATAGCGAAATTATTTGCAATGATGCTATCAAATATATGTTTAAATCATGTTTACATTACAGATTTTGGTATTTACTGGTGACAATGATGATTTGTTTAATCGTATCTTAGAGACTCTGAATACGATGATACCATCTGATACTCATACTGTTTATCATTTATCATATGAAGCATTCTGTAAACATCCATGGATTGGACAAAATATTGCATGCTTGATTGTAGCTGATACATCACATTTGGATGATAAATGTTGGATTCGACTTCAGCAATATTTTAGTTGTGTAAGGTTTTCTTTTCGTTTTTTTTTTTTTTTTTTTTTTTTGACAGAGGAATATTTTAAATTTTCATTCAAATTTCAAACAATAAAATTATTTCTACATAGTTTTATAGCTTAAACAAAATGAACTATTAGTGAGAAATTACTATGAAAGATAATTATTATTTTGAATAAAGTTATAGGCAAAATAAATGATACTTTAATTCTATTTTCCATTCAATTGATCAGCAAGTTTTAATTCTAAAGTCATTACAAATCGGATATGATTTAAAATCTTGAAGCATAACCATTTTTCATTTTCTTGATTGAACAATTTTTTCCGTTTTGATGCACTTAAAAAGTTCCATGTTATTCTCGGAGGACTACATTTTCCTTTAGTCCGTTGATGTTTTTTTTTTTTTTTTTTCTTTTCCCTTTTCTTTTTTCTTTTTCTTTTTGACAAAAAAATGATGTGAAATAGCAAATTTTTGCTATTTCAGTCAGGCAAAATTCTCTTCCTATGTCAAAATAAGCTTTTGGCAAGTTTATCGGCTTGTGACAATTCAAAAAAGACTACTAAATTGCTGAAGATGGCATTTGGTGAACGACAGTCAAAGAAACTTGGAAAAGATTTTGAACATTTTCTAAAGAAGACTTTAAAAATGTTACATAAGGAGAAAAAGGTATACAGTAGAATTTATAATTTCTTTTTTCAAATAATATTTCTAGGTGTGATTTACATAAAGAATGAAAATAAAGCATAATAGCACTTTTCTAAATACTGTTTTAAAAAACACTAATGTTTTTAGCAAAAAAATTTGTATGCTAATTTGAATAAAATTTCAATACATATATATGTTATGTTAAATTTTAATATATAGATATATAAAATTCAATTTATTATAATTTTAATATAGGCACACCTTTTTTTTTTTTTTTTCTAAATTAAATTTCGGAAATGACAGCTGAATATAGGAAATGAGACGATGGAGCTATAAAATTATCGATAGTTTAAAAAAAAAAAAAAGTTTGCAATCCATCTTTTTTCGGTTTTCATATTCTTCGACATATAATCAGGTACTTTTGCCGGAAAAAAAAAATTTGCTTTTAAATACCGATTAAGGTTCATTCTTTTGGTTTATCTGATAAATTCTTGAATATTCATCGATATCATAGACAGTGTAGAGATAACAACTGATTATATCAATTTTGCTTTAGTGATAATCATTGTAGGTTATATTTTTCTTTTTTTTTTTTTGACTATGGATAAGTTTACGAGATATGTGTATCTGATGAGCTTTTTATCTTTTCAATTGATTTCAAATACCGAAAGATTATTATAGCGTAGCTGAGTTAAATTCTTTGGCACTTTTTTATGGGATTTGAAGAGATATGATTGGTCATTAAGCTCATCACTTAAAATTTTTTCATTCATCATTATGCCACTGAGTTTCCACTTTTTGTGTCCTTTTTAAATTCAAATAAAAAAAAAAAAAAAAGGAAAAAAAAAAACATCATGTAACTTCATTTATTGTCATAAATTAAATAAGTTATTATTAGAAGCGAAAAATGAGTATTGAAATGATATTATACAGTAAAACAAAACTTTGAAAGTTCTAATATGAAAGAGCAAAGACCAAAATGGAGTAACTGATCTAATAATACCTAAATATTGGAAATTTTTCAGGTAAATCAAACATTTCATGCAAAAGATCTCTTTGGTAGTTGTAAATATTCTGTTGTGCTATATAAAACTGAAGGTTTGTTTCTTTCTCATTTATCATTTATTCCTTGTTTTTTTTTTTTTCTTTTTTTTGTGTTTCCAAGTTTCAATTATTAGAAATTTTTTTAATTTTTGAACCTGTCTCACTTTTGTTGTTTATTTTATAACGTTTTTCTTTTTTCGTTTTTGTTACTTATTTTATAATAATTTTTCTTTTTTCTTTTATAATTTATATAATATCATTTTTTTTTTTTTTTTTTTGTAATTTATATAATATCACTTGTTTCTTTCTCTCAAAATTTCTCCTTTACTTAATTTTAGATAGTCCACTTTTGTTATATATGGAAAATGCAGCGCAACGTGCTAGTGCTCTATTTAGTGATGCGACAAGTGAGCAATTACTTCATTCCGGTTCAACACTTATTGCTGATGCTCTTTCACGTCTTTCCATAAAAATTACAACAAATGTAGCAGTACCATCTCTTACACCTGGATATTTTATTTGTGAATATGATCGAATGCCATGGGATATGGAAGTAAGTTATTATATGTTTGAGAAATTATATAATCATATCGATTGTTATTTAACTAAGAATGTTATTGTTTTCAAACTAGCTAATTTAATTAAACTTTTTATAGTGAATCGAAAAAAAAAAAAAAAAAAGTGACAGTTAATGATATGTTTGTTACAAACAACTATTAAATTACTTTAATTAATTTATTAAAAAAATAACTAAAATTTTTGAAAAAATTATCTATTTAGTGAATTAGATATTTGGCTAAATTAAGCTTATCATACTGCATAATTATGATGGTTATTTAATTGAAAATGTTATTGTTTAATTTATTGTTGTACTTAATTATTTATGAATTTATTGTCTGCATCTTTCTTTTTTTTTTGTGAGATATTAATTAAATTGCTCAATTTAATCTCATGAACAAATGCCAAAGAAGTTTAAGCAATTAAAGAAATTTGAAATTAATGATTTACACAATTCATTATAGGGTATGCATTTCAATGAACCATTCGGTAGCAAACCAAAACTATTGCTTAAACAAATCAACAAGCATGGACCATTACCAGAGGTTTCAAACAAGTTACTTCCGGTTGAAGTTCGAACACGGGCAGAACATTTACATGATTTTGATGATGAAATTTATTTTAAGTAATCTTTCAGTTTTTTTTTTTCTTTTTTCTGCACTTTTCTTGATTTATTAAAAGACTGAAATTTTTGTTTGACGATGTAATTCAAATGATGGATGAATTTATAGGAGACTTAAAACTGTGAGACTTGGCAAAGCTTTACTTTACATTCCAGTATGTGAGACAACAATGGATATTGGAAAGAGGTTGATGAAATTTTCAGTTTTTTTTTTCAATTAAATATCTATTTTTATATTTAAAAAAAAATTATCTATTTCTATGTTTAAAAAAAAAAAAAATTTATATTTTATTTTAATATTAGATAGTGACACTGAGTTGTGAAATTTTAAAACAAAATTTTTTTTTATAAAATGCATTCTTTTTAACTAATAAATATCGAAACATATGATTAAATTTATATTTCATAATTTTTTTTTTTTTCAAAATTATTGAGTACCATATGATTTATTGAAGTTTGAGTTACTCAAACCATTGTAATATAATCCTTAAGTTACTCAAATTCCTGACGCCAATTGAATGTACTCTTTGTTATAAAAAAAGATCAGTTACCTATTATATCTGAAAATGCATCCACTATCAATAGCTAATTATTTAGTACTGAATGATTTAATAATTCGATATTTGGGAATTTGACTATCATGTTATTTAATTTTACAATAATTTGCTTCTTATAAAGTTTGGAATTTAGTTCAGCATCGTAAAGTTTTGCATTTGTGTTATTTATTGTAAAGTTTGATGTTTGATAGATATATGTAGTTTTTTTTTTTTTTTTTTTTTTACTATCCCAAAGTTTAGAAACTGAATTGTTTATTGTACAATTTTCCATTTAACTAATTCAATAATTCTCCAAGAATTAGTGATAATTTTCTTCATTATTATTTCCTATTTTAGTTTGGCATGTGCAATGCCGGAAGAGCCTATTGTGATCGTTGCACGACAACAAATCAAAGGAGCGGGTAAATTGTGTTTTTTCTCAGTTTAGAGTGACATTATCATTTAATTTTTTACTAAAATTCAAAGAAGAATAAAACTTTGCAATGAATCATTTGGTGAAAAATAAATTTCGGTATATTTTAATATTATTAATTTCTTAACAATAGCTATAATTACTAGTATTTATACCATGAATGAAAAGGAAGATAAATGAAATCATTCATCAAAACTCGTAATTTTTACTTGTATTTTAGAAATTGTGTTACAACTTGGTAAATTTTAAAGTTGTATGTATGTAAGAGAGATTTCTGGTTTAAAGCAATCATTTGTATTATTTCTAGGTCGATCAGGGAATCAATGGCTTAGTCCGGTTGGATGTGCCATGTTTACAGTTAATTACATGTTGTCACCTGAATCGTCTCTTAATAATAATATTAGCATTATTCAGCATATTTTCTGTGTTGCAATTGTCAGTGGCATTTGTTCACTTCGAAAGGAATTAGAGGTAATAAAATTTGATATATTTTTGATTTTTGGAAATCCTTTTTTTCTTTTTTCTAATTTCAAGAAATTTTTTTTCATGATTTTTATTTTTTTATCTCCTTGTAAATCAGTAATGATAATAGATGATTGTACTGAACTAAAAAATTTGTCTCTTTCTTTATCTTTCAAATATAAAATATTCAAGATAGCAACAATTTTTACTCCTTTTCATACTTTTTTATCTTCTAACTTATCTTTGCGATAATCTTTTAAATTTACTATTTAAATAATTTTAGAAGGATTTAGTGTTATTTGTTAGGTATAAATCTAAAATTAGTAGCTAATTTTACTCAGTTTAGTTTCTTCTGTCATTCATATAATGCCAGAATTCTATCACACTTGTAGCACTTGTTATATGATGATGATAAACTGATTAGTGGGACATTTAGTAAAATTTATCTCTACTGACCTTATCATTTTAGATTGTTATCATATCAGAAAATAATTTTGTTACTTAGGAAGATTTGGACATGAAAATATTAATTTCTTTTGGTATCACTTTTGAAATTGTATGCTTCCATAGAGAATGTTTTTTGTTATTCTTTCATATAGTTTAGGTATACGAGGTATATAAAATTTGCTAAAAGTTTTTGCAGTGGAAAATGATTTATAAAAACGAATGTTTTTCTCATTTTATGTTATTTCATGTCTAATATCTATCCCTTTCTTCTAATGAAATACCAGAATATAATCTTTTTAAATCGATAAAATTTCATTTCAAAAATTGCAAAATTTTGCTGGAAATCTAACTCTCAAATATGATTTAAAAAATTGATATAGTCGTATTAATCAAATATATTGCAGAATTTTCCGTTGAAAATTAAATGGCCAAATGATCTTTATTATGGTCGAACATGTAAACTAGGTGGTTTAATTGTCAATGCTACAACAATTAATGACAGAACTGTTTGTACAATTGGTAATTGTTTAAATTGAAATATATTTGGGATGGGATGATTTTCTTGTTTTCCTTGAAATAATCACAGATAAGCTTTTGCTGTACTTAACTTTATCTAATTTTTGCTATTATCATATTGTGATGAAATAAAAAGATCGGATTTTGTTGAGATTTTTTATTCTTTCATACATTTATATTTGATATAATTTGGTTCAAATTATTTTTACAATTATAGGTGCTGGATTGAATTTGTCTAACAGTAAGCCAACTGCCTGCATTAATGATTTCTTACCTGCAGATTTAAGGATACGTCAAGAGGATTACATTGCTAATACCCTAAATAAGTTTCAATGTAAGTTATATTGTTGTTTTCATTTGTAATTTAGTTCAATATATTTTTTTTCTGGTGATATTTTCAGATAATATGGAGAAGTAATACTAGCCTAGGAAGTATAAGAGAATAGAAAAATTTTATGAATTGAACTAAGTATAATTAATTTACGATATAGGAAGCGATATAGATTAGGATATTTTACCAGTTTCTTCTTTGAATTATCTTTTGTTGTATTTAATTAGTGATTAATGCAAGTAATTAAATTATGGACATCTAAACCTTTTTTTTTTTCATAGTTTCAAAAATGATAACAAGTCATAGTCAGCATGCAGTTATGTTATCATGAAGAATTTCAATTAGATATTTTGCAGATTACATTGATTTATATGAAAATGAGGGTGAGAATGCATTTTTGAAGCATTATTATCGATTTTGGCTACACAGGTATATATAATACCAACGATTTTACAGCTTTAAGATTTTTCGTTAGTGGAGTGTTTTAGTGAGTATTATTAATAATAATGAAGAAATAAATAGTTAAATATCATTTCTAAATGGAATTTTCAGTTTTTGAAATTAAAATTGAGTCCTAACTCATATTTAGAAATTAGAAAATTAATTCAAAAATCAAAAAAAAAAAAAAATGATTCTTCAGAAATTAAAAGAAAAAAACCTCCCTCAATAACTTACTTTAATTGGATTTTCATTCTGAATTAACTTTTGGACATTTGTAGTCGAGAAGAAGTAACTATTTCGAATACTAATGAAAAAGCTGTAATTCGTGGACTGGATCGTCACGGATTTTTGAAAGTTCGTAGTCGTCAAAGTGGAAAAATGATGATTGTACATCCGGATGGCAACACTTTTGACATGATGAAAGGTCTCATCACAGCTAAATATGTTTGAAACTAAGCTTTAGTGTTTTTTTTTTCTTTTTTCCTAAGCCTGTTGCGATTTTTTTCATAAAGAATGGAATCAAAAACATTTGAAAGGCATCTAAATTCCCTGAAATCCAATGCCATAGGACTTCTGTGACGGAGAATCTCATGACAATCAACTGCTAAAAATTATCTAAGAATTAGAAAAAAAAAAATTCAAAATTACCCAAGACTATGTATTTATTGATTTTCTTGACATTTATGGTTGTTGACACAAAACGAATGTCATCATATTCGTACTACCATTTAGAACCACTATCGACTTTGGATGCCATTATTTGTTCCAACATACTTCCGCTTAATGTACTTGTAATTTGTTGAGTAATTCTGTTTATAAGTGTTTATAAAAGATTGTTCATTCCGTAAGTTATCATTTAGACATATGTACAGGGATTTTGGAAATTCGTTACATTCATGTCATTCTTGGATGAATTGTTGATTAAATATTCTGAGGAAATATTCATTTGTCAAACATACTACTTCCAAATATTTGAAATTCACAATTCAAGCTAAATTCTTTTTTTTTTCTTTTTTTTTAGAAATGAAAGATCTCGATTTTATCGGAAAAAACACAAGTTTCCTTAAAGTTAGAGTTAGATATGGCATAAGTGTTGCTGTTTCTTGGTAAGCTATGAAGATATAAATGCTCAAACCTTTCTTAAGTCAAAATTTTATCTGTTCAGGAAGTAAACTGATTCCAAGGCAGGTTACCAATCTTAAGGAAAGAATTCTGACTTTGATATGTAAAACTTTCGTTTAAGGAGATATGTAATTTTGAAATCAGTGGTAATTCCATTGATCTTAGAGTAGAAGATTCATATTTTAATGCTGCATTTCTCAAAAAGTCCGGTATTCTAGATCCTTTTAATAGACAGCATATTTTTTACATTAAAAAAAAAAAAAAGCTTCTAAGAAGCTTAGGAGATCTAGAAATATAACAGTGGACAATCTTAAGCATCTTATTATCCATGAACATGTGCAAATCAGACAAGAGAGAAAAACAAAAGCTTAGCCATCTACAACTCTAACTTTGAATATTAAATACAAATTTGTTTAAAATTCGGAAGGTTGATGTTTCATCCTTTCTGCAGCCCATTTTCCATAATCAGTCCATACAGCTGAAACTGGCTCATACCACCATGCTTTATAATCCCAACGTTCACCTTGTAAATGCTCCACACGTTGTTCAATTTTCCTGAAATAGCATCAATAGTTATGTGGATTCATAATTGTTTCTATACATTCTACATTAATTATACGTTCTACAATTAGAGAAAAGAAAAATCTTTCTAAAAAAGAAAGAAAGATTAAACAAACCTCCATCTGCTCAAGATATTTGCTTTCTCGAAATATGCAAGATTGCGTTCGTACTGCTCAATATCTGATGGGCAAAGATATTTCGCAGCCCATTGTTTCAATTTCGTTCTTTCGAACTGCCAGTAGTGAACAGCGGATCCATCAGTTGGCAAATCTTGCAATTCACAAGGTCCTGCAATATAATATTTTCCCAAATAGCGATTTTTGCTTAACTAATATGAAAATTATAGCAATATAATCACTACAGTATGGAATAAATTGTAGAAAAGCAAGTTACTGGGAGGTTAAAATTATTTGAATTGCAATACCGTCAAATGGAAATTACCATAAACAACATGGATAAATCCAAGAAGTAAAACCATCGGCATAATACCAAGGCAAATAACATAGAAATGAGCGATATCTTTGCAACGATTAAAATAAAGAACCGATGGACGTCTATAGAAAATTCGATCAGATGAAAATCTTGCCGGTAAAACTGAAACATTTCTTAATTATGTCAACAAAATATCTACCTGAAAGCAGCAATGAAATACGAAATACTGAATAACGATTTAAAATTTAAACAGTTTTGAACTTAACTGAACTGCCTGTGTTGACATTTTAAAAGAAATGCTGTGCCTATTTTAAGATTCGAAAATGAAATATTTTATTGAAATACTAAATCTCATTGCATTTCGGTGTAGAGCGGTTTGTATGGAACACTTCGTGCTCACAACTACTCGACGGAAAAGCAAAGAATTAGAAATCCAAAAACAGATTAGTTTTCATCAAAGAAACAAAAGATGAAGTTTCATTTTTTGATTTAGTAATCACTTAAGTCAGTTCTAGATAGATGAAAAATCACAATAAAAACCCTCATATGAATCAAGTTTATTGATGCAGGTATTTCAAACATACTAAAGCTGTATTATGTATAACTCGTGCACTACCCAGATTATCTTCATTGTTTACCTCTATTTTATTTAGTCACACTTATGCTAACCATATATATTTACTTAAATTACCTCTTATTTACATAGATAATCTATTTGCTTACATTTTATATTAATACCTATTTGGATAGTATTTACTTGCAAAAACAAAAGACATTTTAAATGAACAAAATCGACATATTAAAATATTTAACCATTTCCGATATATTAATAAGAAAAATATTCAAATGATGTGAAACTTACTGGTTAATCGTGCAACACAAAGACATTGTTTAGCAAGCTTACTGAAAGCTGCCATTGCCGCGTGATACTATTCCGCCGTCACTACTTTACGCCAGAAACTGAAAAAAAAAAAACAACTTTCCAAACAACCAAAAAAAAAATACATGCGCTAACCTGACAGGTAAAAGACAAATTCAGTAACATCCTCCCTTTGGTTGATGAATGAAATGAAGTTTGTAAAAAGTTTATAAATCAATTAGAACTGACAAATCAATCTGCTCAGTTAGAAACGGACTATTGGATGGACAGAAAAATACAGTTGAATGAACACAAAAAAGATTAACTTACATCCAGCGTTAAATCAACAACGAAATAAATATTAGTAATCAATCATAATTTGTAGTCGAAATTCAACATTAAATGAAGTTGAATTTGTTTCAAAACTTAAATCGAATAAATAAGTTTGTTCCAGAATATATTGCAATTAAAAAAACCTTATCAAAATTAAGAGCGAAAAAAATAAACACTGCATACATCTACATATCTAATCCATTAAAAGCAAAAACTTACTGCTATAAAGTTAAAAAAAATGTATATAAACACCTTGTTTACAGATTTCTAATACCTAATCTACAAATTTAAATCTATTAATGTGCAATTTATTATTTCTACTAAAATTGTAATTTATTTAACAGTAAATTTCAAATCTATTAATATGCAATTTATTATTCCTACTAAAACTGTAACTTTATTTAGTAAATATAATTCCACAAAACAACATAATCTTAACTTCAACCTTAACCTTTAACCTTCACCCTTTCCCAAATCCTCAACGTATCACCGGAACATCCGCGAAGACACGGAACACTGAAATTAACACGGCCGAGGGATTTTATTGAGAGACTCACTGTGACACTGAAATAATGGAGCGTAATAGTGCATATTTTGAGAGCTCAGAGAAGGACTGAAGTTCGGTACACTTTCCGGTACAGGGCCGGAAAGTGTATGGGTCGGTTTTTCAGGATTAATTGTTTGGGAATGGTCTACCGGAATTAAGCTATGTTATGAACATTATTCAGGAGCTGAAAGAAATAGAATATTGGTGACTCTCTTCATGACCTTTGACATTTCTCAGGTGATTTAGAAGGTGAATAACAGGTATTAATTATTCATTGTTCATTGCTTTCTTATTATTATGGTACGATTGATATTTTTGTTAAATTCATTCTTTTTCCTCTCTCTCTCTCTCCTCTCTCTCCCCTCTCTCTCTATCTCTTCTCCTATCTTTTTTCCTTCTTTTTGTTTAAAAAAGAATATTTTAAATTAGTACTGAGTATGAGCTTTCAGCTAGGAGATAATTTCATTGAAATTTACTATGGGAATTTGAAGTTAAAAAAGTAATTTAATGAATATAAGTTAATATTGAAATATTAGAAATCAATTATATAAATCAGTGTTGAGATATTATAGTTCAGTCATAACAAACTTGTCTATTTCAAAAAAAAAATTATATGTTTTGTTAAGTTTAAATTCAGATTTCAATAATTTCAAATTTAAGCAAGTAGCAGGAAGTTAAATGATTAAACTATAAAATTTGATCATTTTTATCAGTGCTTATAACTTCCAAATAACAATTTAAGGCAGTTAGCATAATTTAAGTTTCATTAAAATTTCTATTTAAAATCAAAATTCGAAATTTTAAATTAATATAAGATAATGCTTAATTTTAAAAGAAACTTGAAAGAAATAAAGGAAAAAGAAAAATCTTAAAGTTTTGAAAAGAGAAAGAATTTAACAAATGCAACCATATTCATTTATCATTTCTCATTAACAAATCATAGTGTAAGTTATAAAAAGTAGTGATAAACGAGTAAATGAATAAGCACTGATAAGCGGATCACAACAACTGATATAAGTGATATAATTCATACAGATTAACACAATTGATAACTGATATAACATTTGTGATTTTTGCTAATTGATACAACTTCTTTCTTCATCCGGAAATTTGAATTCCATGTTCAGTTCTCCTCCATTAAACCATTGTTTCACATCACTCGAACGAGTAACATACTGATCCGGAATACGGAGGACAACTTTTCGTTGACAAGGCTAAAAAATTCATTACGCTCATATTTCATATTAGCAATCAACTTATGTAATTATATTAATGATTTCCAAAAATTAGATATTGATCACTATCTTTGATAAATTTTATCATGATATGATATGATATTATCAAGAATATCAATCTATTATCAATACTTATTTTACCTTGATTTCATCATCATAATCATGATAAATTTTATCATGATATGATATTATCAAGAATATCAATCTATTATCAATGTTTATTTTACCTTGATTCCATCATCACAATCATGATAAATTTTTAAGACAACATCCATGCCAAAAATTGATCCAACTCCACCTTTTAATTCATAACTACCATCTGCTTTCGTTTTTGTTGCTGCTAATTGATCATCCGTACCTGAATTGATAAATGAAAAATTAATATTATAATAATTATCATACAATTATTTTTGTATTAAATTATTAAAAAATATGATATTCATTAAGAATTTTGATAATTTAAATCATTTTTTTTAAAGCAATTGTTAAACATTAAATAACAAAATAAAATATTGAAAATAGTTCTTCAACAATAAATAAATATTTAAAAATTAGCTTGTTAATTTGAAAATAAGCTAATTTTTTTGTTTTGTTTTTCAGAAAGATTTGCTAACCAATTTTATTTTGATTCCATAATTTGATTTGTGTATTTGGTAAACTTTGATTGCCACATAAAAGACGACCTCGTACACCAACAGATTGTTGTCGAAAACTAATTACTATTACTTGTAGATGGAATATTATAAAAATTAGGAATAGAAAGGTATTTTTTCTTTGCATATTTTCCTATAAAAATTTATTATAATTAAAAAAGATTATTTTTTGAAATTAAAAATGAAATTGTTTTTTTTTTTTTTTGAGATTTTTTCTTGAAAATTTTATTGAAATTTATTATAGTGAAAAAAAAAAAAATACGTTAATTGAAAAGATTATTTTTTGGGAAATATGAAAATCATTTTAGCTTAATATCAATTCTTTTTAAGATTTTTTTTTTTGATCGAAAATTTGGGTATATTATCGGAAATTGTAGTATTAGTGATATAAAATTTGTTATTTAAATAAATTGTCACGAAAAGTGTCACCAATGAGTGAGAGAGGATAAAGGTAAAATAGTGAAAGAGGGAGAGAGAGAGAGAGAGAGAGAGAGAGAGAGAATAATTTATTACACTTTTTAGCAAATAAATTTTGACAAACTTCTTGGTTGATTTGATTTGTTAACCTAATCGAAGTTGTAAAAGAAGGTAAGTATATTAGTTGGCTAAGTAATACCAACTTAAATGCTCTCAATTTGGTAATTTTATGATTTTCCATTGATAGATAATTTTTGTGATTTCCTATTGATTGATTAATTGATCGATCGATTAGTTGATCAAAGAATCGATTGTTTTGGTTTGCATTGCTTACCCAATCTTATTAGTTTTTAAATTTGCAAACAAAACCAAATTAAAAAAATCTAATTCATCTCATGTTGATAAATCCTCCATTAAATTACTCCATTGCAAGAAACATTTCTATTTTTTTTTAAATTTAATTAAAAAAAAAGGGGAGGAGAGAGGAATGAATAATTATGTCAAAGTTGAGTTTTTTGAAAAAAAAAAAAAAAAAAAAAGGATAATGGGAAAATTGGTAAGTTATAATTTAATAAACGTTTATTAAAACTATTAATAGTAATTTTCAATATGAGTTATTTTTGATGTGAAAGAAATAAATGTGATAGTAACTATTAAAAATGTCGTTAGTAGAATTTTGTCAACACCCATAATGAGTCATATTTATTCATTTTTAAACAGGTTTCTTTTTCTTTCTTTTTTTTTTTTTTCCTTCTTATCAGATCTTTTCAAATAGTATTACAAAATTTAGATCCGTCATTTTACATCAATTTCATTCCAATCCAATTTTTCTTTGCTCCCTCAATGTTAATTAAATTGCAAATGATTGCGCAAGTGATTGATATACACGTGAAACGTGAAAGCTTTAAGTTGAAATTATTGCATGATGCATAAGTGATTGATATACACGTGAAACGTGAAAGTTTTAAGTTGAAATTATTGCATGACGCATAAGTGATTGATATACACGTGAAACGTGAAAGCTTTAAATTGAAATTATTGCATGACGCATAAGTGATTGATATACACGTGAAACGTGAAAGCTTTAAGTTGAAATTATTGCATGATGCATAAGTGATTGATATACACGTGAAACGTGAAAGCTTTAAGTTGAAATTATTGTATGACAAATTGTTGAATCATATATTTGTATCAAATAGGCGTATGGAATTTTCTGGTAAAGTTTCTAAAATAAAGTAAAGACCAAAGATCAAAAAAAAGAAATAATTATAAGTATGTGAAATCAAAAATGCGATTTGATTCTTTGGTTTTGGGAGAAATAACAAAGAACGAAGATGCGTTGTTTATTTCGTAGCATTATTATTTGACTAAAAAAAAAAAAAAAAAAAACCAAAATTATTAGTTAAATTTAGATTTAAATTTTAACACTAAAAATTTTATTAATTGTTTGCAAATAGCATTATTATTCGATTAACAAAGACATTTTTTTATTAGTCAAATTTAGATTTAAATTTTAACACTAAAAAGTTTTTCTATTAATTGTTTGCAAAATAAATTTAGCATAAAATTTGAGCGGAAATTAATTCTATCATGTATTTCTATTAAACTAGCATATGAATTTGAACAAAATTGAACATTTCCATTTCATTGTTCATTTTCATTTCATCCTATCATTATGATAATGTATGTTTGAGAATGTCAACTGTCAACCATCTTTAAGATTCTGTCAACTGTCAAACCATCTTTAAAAATTCTGTTTACTTTTTAGCTTTTTCAACTTTATGTGATGTTCCCAACATTTATTCTGCATATCGAATAAAATCAACAGAAGGATTATTTTTTTCTTATTTGTTTAACATTATTTGAAATTTCCAAAAAAAATATTTTTTGTTTTTTTTTTTTTATAAATATTGCATTTTTTTTTTTTTTTGTTTGTTTGATAATTCATTTTATCCTTAACATTTTAGATGCAATGTTTTATTCTTTTAAACTTTATGTTGATATTAAATTATTTGAATTTATCAACATTCTCTTATCATTAAGCAAAAATTTTGTTATTTGCTAACAGTAATACTAATAGAAATACAACAAATTTTTATTCATTGATAGAATTAGAAAAGAAAAAATATTAAAATGTTTACAAAAAAAAAAAAAAAAAAAAAAAAATCGAATAATAAATTAATGAATTATTCGCAGGCAATTTTTCCATGAAAACTAGTCATAGCAATACCAAATGCTTGTAATGCTGATAATGGATAACGAAAATCCATCGTAAATACATCGTAACCAATTCGACCAAATTGCATTACAATATATTTGGCTAGAAAAATAAAGAGAGATAAGAATGTTTGATATGAATTTTTATCAATTTGATAAAGTTACATAAAATTATAATCAATTTGATAAAGTTACTTTGAATTATAATCAATTTGATAAAGTTACATTGAATTATAATCAATTTGATAAAGTTACATAAAATTATAATCAATTTGATAAAGTTACTTTGATAAAGTTACATAAAATTATAATCGATTTGATAAAGTTACATAAAATTATAATCAATTTGATAAAGTTACATTGAATTATAATCAATTTGATAAAGTTACATTGAATTATAATCAATTTGATAAAGTTACATTGAATTATAATCAATTTGATAAAGTTACTTTGATAAAGTTACGTAAAATTTATAATCAATTTGATAAAGTTACATTGAATTATAATCAATTTGATAAAGTTACTTTGATAAAGTTACGTAAAATTATAATCAATTTGATAAAGTTACTTTGATAAAGTTACATAAAATTATAATCGATTTGATAAAGTTACATAAAATTATAATCAATTTGATAAAGTTACATTGAATTGTAATCAATTTGATAAAGTTACATTGAATTATAATCAATTTGATAAAGTTACGTAAAATTATAATCAATTTGATAAAGTTACATTGAATTGTAATCAATTTGATAAAGTTACATTATGGTATATAAACAAAACAATAAACAAAAAATTTTTAAAAAAAATGAAAGTATTTATATGTTTTGTTATAGCAATGAAGATTATTACTTGCAAGAAAATTCATTTTTAGATATTTCTATGAAATTTCTTTTTAATTATTTTAAATTGAAAAATTTGAAATAAAAATAAAAATTTGAAAATGCATACGATCAGCATCATGAATGATTTGAAAATTCTTTACTGATGGCTGTGTAACACGTCCGTAAAAATTAAGTACGTATGATTGTGTATCTGAAAGATTTTACTGGTAGATTTTGTTTTTATTTTTTTTTTAATTTCAAAATAAATGGATTAAAATTTGAATGGAATTATTTTAAAAATAATAATAATAGCAATAATAATAATTATAGTAACAATAACGATAATAATAATAATAAATAATAGTAATAATAACAATAACAATAATAAATAATAATAAATAAATAATAACAATAAATAAATAAATAATAATAATAAATAAAACCTTCATTCCAAACAGGACTTTTGTTATGCATAGCAATCAAATCATCTGCTTTTCGACTCTTCCACCTTTCTAGGATAGATTCTTGTTCCTAAAAAAACAATCACAAATTTTTAAATTTATCAACAATTTCTCATAAAATTTAATGTCAAATAAGTAATTGAAAATTTTTTAAAATTATTTTTTGCTCAAAAAAAAAAATTAAATTAAATTAAAATTTAGATAGATTTCTAATTTTGGTAAATGTCTTAAAAAATTTGCCAATAAAGGACGAATTTCTTGACGTCGATAATTTTCAGCATCACATATACCAGGAATCAAAACAGTCATTTTACGTGGACCTTTGAAACCAAGAACATTAGTATCCTAAAATGTAAAATTAAAATTTCAAATTTGAATTACTAAAAGAAACATAAATAAAATTTAGTAACTAAAATTGTTGCATTCACATCAAAAGAAATAATTTAATTAATGTAAACATTATGGCATAATTCAACTTTTTTTTTTTTTGCTATTCTAATTATTTTCATTTAAAATTTTGTGTAATAATTTATAATTCAAATCTAATAATCATATTCCACTTATAATTGCATTCAATGAAATATGCAAATTTAAGGGGAAATTTTATTTGTAAACAATTTGTTGACACAAAAAAAAAAATGCTTACATAAATGACAGCTGCAAGTTCTTGCCTTACTGAATCACCGATCACCCATGATTTTTTTGGATTTTCACCGTTATCGTATAATGTAAATTGTGTACCCAAAGCATTTGATCTAAATTTTGAAATAACAAAAAACAAAAACAAAAACAAAAAAACAAAATGTTTATTTTAAAAATATTTTTATTATTGTAATATTAATGCACTTATTTCTCTCATTAATTAGCATATATTAACATTTAATCGATAAAATTATCTTTTATTTCAATTTAATTAGATGCAAATATTTGAATAATTGTGTGAAATATGATAAATATTTAAATAATAATTCATTTAATTAATTATTAATTGAAATATTTCGTTGACACTTTTGAAATTGCTAAAGTTGAGCAAATTTGCATAAATAATTCAAAAAGTATTCAATAAGTTTACTGACCTATTAGAATGTTATTTTTTTTAAAAAAAAAAATTTTCTGTATGATCCAAAAATGTTTTACTGTCAAGAAATTAATTACTGTGCAAATATTCCTGACGACAATTGTTTTTTCTAATAAAAATAACGGAATAA